AATGAAATTTTTCACTTAAGTTGAGATTTGTGGAATCTCATCTTCTTTTCATCAGCATTTCCTTAAAGCCTATATTCTTTTGATTACAATTGATGTGTCTTTTAATACCTTTATTGGTTTGATTACAACTGATGTAAAAGTGGAACTATTACAGTCTAGGCTTATTTGGTAATATATTGCCTTTTCTAATGTCTTTAGTTTTTATTCAATCAATAAATGAATCGCTACAAGGAGTCAAATGAAGTCGCATCAAGTGAATTTTTCAAATGTTTTTACTTAAAGAAGGTTCAAGTTTGATTGATGAACAATAGCTCCTAGGTTAAGAAAATAGATTTTTGTTATCCAAAGGTTTCCTGATATTCGATAAGTTTACGATTAATTTTACGTATCAGTGTGAATTTATCTGATATATTGAAGTGGAAATGTCTTCATTTATGGTAATTATTGATTACTGGCAACAAGCAACTCCGATTTACAGTCTACTAAGGTGATCTTTGGAAAATGTTTTACTGATTGGAGATTTCTAGCGAGGCCTACATCACGAAACCAAAGTTTTATTATATAATAGCATACCTGTATAGTTGAATAAATAAATACAGGTCAAAATCAAATGATATGTTGGGTGTGTCCAAAAGAAAGCAACCCAACAACACCGTAAAACCAGATAAGTCGTCTACAGGTCAATATACTATACAGTCTTAAACAAAATATACATATAAGTACACGTATCTATACAATATGCCTGATGGACATACTATGAATAGATTTAACAGAGACAAAATAAAGAATATAAACATCATCATAACCCAAAAGACAACACATATGAGGTTCTTACATCGGGACAGACACACTAACGTATGTCGGGGTTATTGAGTACCCTACTTACATTGTGACAGACACACTAACGTATGTCGGGGTTATTGTATACCCTACTTTAATTGGGACAGACACACTAACGTATGTCGGGGTTATTGAGTACCCTAGTTACATTGGGACAGACACACTAACGTATGTCGGGGTTATTGAGTACCCTACTTACCTTGTGACAGACACACTAACGTATGTCGGGGTTATTGTATACCCTACTTTAATTGGGACGAACACAGTAACGTATGTCGGGGTTATTGAGTACCCTAGTTACATTGGGACAGACACACTAACGTATGTCTGGGTTATTGAATACCCTAGTTACATTGGGACAGACACACTAACGTATGTCTGGGTTATTGAGTACCCTAGTTACATTGGGACAGACACACTAACGTATGTCGGGGTTATTGTATACCCTACTTACATTGGGACAGACACACTAACTTATGTCGGGGTTATTGAATACCCTACTTTAATTGGGACAGACACACTAACGTATGTCGGGGTTATTGTATACCCTACTTACATTGGGACAGACACACTAACGTATGTCGGGGTTATTGAATACCCTACTTTAATTGGGATAGACACACTAACGTATGTCGGGGTTATTGAGTACCCTACTTTAATTGGGACAGACACACTAACGTATGTCGGGGATATTGAATACCCTACTTTAATTGGGACAGACACACTAACGTATGTCGGGGTTATTGAGTACCCTACTTTAATTGGGACAGACACACTAACGTATGTCGGGGATATTGAATACCCTACTTTAATTGGGACAGACACACTAACGTATATCGGGGTTATTGAGTACCCTACTTTAATTTTGGACAGACACACTAACGTATGTCGGGGTTATTGAGTACCCTACTTTAATTGGGACAGACACACTAACGTATGTCGGGGTTATTGAGTACCCTACTTATATTGGGACAGACACACTAACGTATGTCGGGGTTATTGAGTACCCTACTTTAATTGGGACAGACACACTAACGTATGTCGGGGTTATTGAGTACCCTACTTACATTGGGACAGACACACTAACGTATGTCGGGGTTATTGAGTACCCTACTTACATTGGGACAGACACACTAACGTATGTCGGGGTTATTGAGTACCCAACTTTAATTGGGACAGACACACTAACGTATGTCAGGGTTATTGAGTACCCTACTTTTTTCTTGATTACAAGAATAACAAAAGGTCTAACAAAGAGTAAAACTGCTTGTAATGGCAGAAAAGCACTTAACACTAATAGATATTACAGACAACAAACACGCGTGGTATTAAATAATATCGTATCACAAATTATCGTAGGCAAACGCGAAGTACATAATCTGACGGTATGAATGATTGATTTGTGATGTTTAACGCCACTTTCAACACTCTTGGCTATTTCATGGCGGCCAGTTTTTATCAGTGGAGGAAGCCGGAATACTCGGAGAGAACCACCAACGTTCGACAGGAAAACTCCAATCCTAGTCAATTAAGATAAGGGTCGAACACACCTTGCCACTAGCGGGGTTCAACCTCATTGTTGACAGAAAAGTTATAACTGTAAATAAACTACTTTTTTTCTCTTGATAATAGATAAACTACTTAAACCACACCACCACCAAAGTATGAACAAGAATAATGATAGTTCATCTTTTATCAACATATCTTATTGTTTAGGTTGAAGTCATATCATTCAAGGTTTTACGGGTGCCATCGATTACAGAGTAAAACGGATATCTGTGTCACAGATGACTGTACATGATTATATGCTGTAGAAACAATTTTGTCATCTTTTCCGCGTTTATTTTATATCAATGGACAATAGTTGTAACACTACTATTTCAGGTTAGGATGAAGGTTGGCGCCAGTTAAAACGTTTAAATCCGCTGCATTTGTTTGCACCTGTCCTAAGTCAGGAACCTGTTTCAGTGGTTGTCGTCTGTTGATGTGGTTCTTAAGTGTTTCTTGTTCTTTTATATAGATTAGACCGTTGGTTTTCCTGTTTGAATTGCTTTACACTAGTCATTTTGGGACCCTTTATAGCTTGTTGTTCGGTGTGAGCCAAGGCTCCGTGTTGAAGGCCGTACTTTGACCTATAATTGTTACTTTTTACACATTGTGACTTGGATGGAGAGTTGTCTCATTGGCACTCATACCACATCTTCTTATTTCTATTATATTTATCATTGTATATGCACTTTCCATGAGCTAACTGACCTATTCAACTAGTGGAGCAGAATTACTGTTTTCTCTTTCAGAACACCTATTTTCCTCCTAGATTGAGTCTGGGTTCGTGTTGCTTTTCCATGCTTTATGTATTGTAAGTGATATATCTTTTAAATTTCTCTGTATTCATTTCAAAGATTTACTTTCTGTCATGTTCGAGAATTAACATATACCGTCGGGTTGTCAATCTTGTAGTGTTTTAAAGTTAGAATAGAGACTTCCGACACGCTATATTGATTGATTGACTGTTAGTTGCTTGCTTAGTCGTTAATCCACTTTTGATGCCTTATCACTGATTAAGACTGATCAACTGATTTTTAATATCAATTGTGATCAAACCAATAAAAACATTGAAAAGCACATCATTTGTATTCAGATGAACACGAATTGAAAGGCTTTTCTATAAAATACCTGAACAAATACAGAAGTCAATATACAACTATGGAACGCCACAGCTGTCTTATGTGGTACTCTTGATATTACGTTATGTTGTATTATTATTACTTGATGATATAACCACTTCTCTTCTTTAGCTGGTGGTGAGTCGATCTAAAAGATATCAATTCATCGACCAGAAAATGTGAAAAATACCCACTCAACTGTGCACACTTATTTACCAAACCTTTTAAAAGTTAAAAGTAACACTGCCTTCCATACTTAGATATGAATCGACTTAAGGGACGACATCAAAAAGGGGGGGGGTCAGTGAAAAAACTATGTGAATTAAGTTTTTTATCCTACATTGAACTTTTGATATCGTCCCTAACACAGAATTTGAATCGATTGGTACAAAATATGGGCTTTTTTCAAGAGAAGGAGCTATAAAAATACACTGGACTAGCTGTTGATAATGTATCAAATACGCACTTTTCGCTGTCAAATCATTTGCCTTAGCTGTTTTTGGCAAAACATTTCGGAATTGTTTATCCTCAATGCTCTTCAACTTCGTACTTTATTTCGTCATTGACAATTCTATTTTTAATCGACGGTCACTGATGAGTCTTTTGAAGACAAAACGCGCGTCTAGAGTATAACATTGTAAGCGTGGATTCTTAGATGAGTGTTTTGGTAAGTTCCCAGGTGAAAAACTGTTGAATTCATACAAATAACTAGGATTCCAACTCGTCCGGCAGATTTTTACATTCTACTTCTAGGCATTTTTCTTTGAATGTTATTTCTATAATTTAATTGCTCTCTTGCTTCTTTACAACTATATACGTCCAAACTTTAACCTTTTTGATAACGATCCTGGTGAAAAGAAAAACAGAAAAGCTCCTTGAAGAACAACGCATTTGGTTTATTATTTGCCAATCTTGACATTTATCGTGCGAGATGTATAAATACACAGATATATCCGGACGGATTGACATTTATCGTGCGAGATGTATAAATACATAGATATATCCGGACGGATTGACATTTATCGTGCGAGATGTATAAATACACAGATGTATCCGTACGGGTTGAAATTGTTAAATACGATGTAAGGGTAGTGTCATGCTCTACACGTAATTCTCATCTTGCAATAACATTCTAGGGGCTCGTAGGCGACTTATTGCAAGCATATTTTCATCCCCTACCTAAATTACACTTTTACATAAGCATTCATACTTCCGGAGCCCCGTTTTATGGTGAGCTTCGTGTTGCTCAGTCTTAAATGTTCTATGTTGTGTTCTGTGTATTGTTGTTTGTCTTTTGGTTGTTGTTCGTTTTTGTTATGGCATTGTCAGTTCGTTTTCGACTTATCTGTTTTAATATCCCTTTTGGTATCTTTATACTCTTTCTTTAAAACATATACGTAATTGATGTATGTACTTTTCTTTTAATTTGTTCTCGCCCCAAAAATGCCTGACGTATTTTCCATTTGATTATAAGCAGTCATTCAACAAACAAGATTCATTTTAATTTATTGGCTTTATTCAAACAATTTTCTAAAAATGAAATTAAACAAAAAGCTCAAACTATAATCTCTATATACAATTTATAAAATAAATGCATTTATATCACAAATCTTTCACGCTCTTTTCAAACAAAGTCGTTAACTGCAATGCCGAATACTTCGGTCTTGTAAACTGTTTGTTTATCTAACTTTTTTGGTTAGTCCCGATATGGTCTTAAGGGTGTACAGTTTTTTACTATATTATATCGTTCAATGGTATTTATAAACATAGTCACAATATAAAGATCCTGGCATTAAAAAATAATTTGAATGAACAGACAAACCAGAAACAATAAAGCTCGCTTTGGAATCCCTTCCCGTAATGATAATTTGTTCCTGGCGACGTTCCTTTTATATCTTTTCTACGTTTTCAATATTAGCAGCAGCAGACAGTTTTATTATTCAGACAACGGCATAACTATTTGATATATCAGAAAATGTGTCTGTTAGATTATCCTAAAAGTATCAATATGTCTCTAACGTAAAGTTATTACAATCCTTTTTATTCATTCATGAGATGATATTTCATGTCTCTGGTTTAAGCAATACGGCTCTATTTTCTAATATAAAATGTGTCGAATATTTTTTTCCGATATGTTTATGTAATCAATACTTTAAATCTCAATATGTTATCTTTTCTGTCCATAATACTATTCAATACAAGCTCTGTCATCTATATCCAATGAATAACTGAAATTCATACATATTAATATCAAATATTTGCTGTTAAGAAATAAACAACTGTTTCAAATGTATATAATTTGAAATAACGTCTATATGTTTGTTGATATTCAACAATTCACAACACTGAGGGTCATATGATAGTTTATGGACCGAAGCGAAACTGTTTGTGAAATGACCGTACGGCCCGTAACCTACCATTTAACCTTAAGCTGAAGTGTTGGAATGACCAAAGGTTACAGCACCTTTTTTTTTATCTCAACAAGGAACCCCAAGGGTTGACTTGGGCATAGAAATGCCACACTCTCTACATTTTCAGAACCCTGACAAAAACTCTTCCGACGGGTCCGTATGTGGCCTGTTGAAAGATTAAATTTATGTCCCTATCCAATATACCTTCAATTTCCAGTGGCATTCGAAATTTCCCGGGCGATCCTTTATTGCAGGACCTACCTTTTGTATTAATTGTTATTTTGTTCTCGTTTTGAATATGCATGAACTATTTGCCACTGGACGTTAAGCAATTAGCTATCAAGCAATTATTTCACCATGAATGAATTTGAGCCAGCAATATGTATAACATCCGAAAACCATCATACCACATCTCCTTATTTTCATACTTAAAAATATTCAATTTTTCCATTGCATAAGATCAATAAAATGTTCTCAAACTGTGTGATCATTTCCCAGAATTTGACGTTATCTTGCATAAATTTGCATGTTCAGACAATAGCTGTACATGTACATACGTGAAAGGTCCGACCGCATTCGTACTGCCTAGTTTTTTTTTGGAGCATATTAGGGAGCTACCATTTGATTTTTATGGAGAGGGGGGGGGGGGGGGGGGGGGGGGGGCTAGGATGAAAAATTTTGTCCTGCCTTTTTTTTTAGTTGTAATCTCTGTCCTGCCTTTTTATTTTTCACTCTATTCGGTCCTGCCTTTTTTTTAAAGTTTATCCTGACTTTTTTTTACCTAAATTGTCATCCTGACTTTTTTTTTTTGCAAGTGTCTCATCTTTGAATATTGTTTTTATTGGTATTAATATTGATTTTGTTATCAGTAAATTAAAAGCAAACTAAATATTATTGTTATATACATATGCACATTCATGGCTCTACAATCTGTCGATACCTGTATCTTGGCATTGCACAGGCCATGTTTTTTCTCCGACTGTTTATGACGTCTTTATACTAAATCCATTGGATGTTGGATGTGTACTGATTGATAATTTTGTCTTAGATGCATGTGTTGCTGGGTTACATATTTGTTTTTCGTTCATTATTTTGTACATAAATTAGTTTTCTCGTTTGAATTGTTTTACATTTGTTATTTCGGGGCCTTTTATAGCTGACTATGCGGTATGGGCTTTGCTCATTGTTGAAGGCCGTACGGTGACCTATAGTTGTTAATTTCTGTGTCATTTGGTCTATTGTGTCTCATTAGCAATCATACCACATCTTCTTTTTTTATATATACAATCAGCTATCCTACATTCGTTTTGTTTTATCAAATTCTATATTTATATCATGAAATACCCATATTTGCATATATATATTGGGTACTACTAGAACTATATCAAATTTTAACACGCTTATGGTGTGTACAATCACGTGGTCTAAACTGTCTTTTAACCATACGGTTGAAATATACAAGTACAGTTTGACCATATAACTAAAGCATACAAATACAAATTTGATTGTGTAAATACAGTCCATATGCTAATGTGGGTTAGATCATACAAAATAAACGAATAACTGACTTACAAGTAAAACTTGTACAAAAGCTATTAAGGAAATAGATCCAATAGCATGTGATGCTAAACCTTTGCCTTTACTTTTGTTTGTTGCATCTATCAAAAAAATAAGTCTTTAATGTATATACAAATTGTGGCATTTAAATAACAGTACTCAAAATTTAAAAACATGCATCTCAAAAAAGAAGAAGTCGCAGAATTGCAGATAAGTAATGTATTGCATGTTAGGAGCATTCTTGATAATTATTCCGTCACCTACACTCATGACGATGGAAAGCCAAATACACATATGTAACGTGACGGTATTTATAAATCAAGAAAGAGTAAGAAAGTAGCAAACATATATTTTTTTTGAAAAAATACAAAATTTACAAATGATATAGATGTCTATAAAATAGCATGTCCTATGGCAATGCGACAACTAATATTATGTTTGTTCGGAAAAAAAATGATACTTAATTCTTGTTTTCGTAGAAAAGCTATTTAAAGTCTTTTTATTCATTTTTTTGTTGTTGTTGGTTTGTTTGGTTTTTTTTTCAGGGGAGGGGACGTTTAATTACCTTTTTACCATTTTCTTACCTTTGTACTGCGATAATGGAACTTTTCTATCTGAAATATTATAAAGAAATTTTTAATAGATGCTCAATATCACGATTTTTCATAACAAATTTTAGAAGTGTTACTACAAAAATAAATAATTCGAGATGTTTTATAAAAACTTATGGCTTAATCAATATCGTTCATTATAGAATAATTCACACAGCAGTTTGTAGTACACGTGTACTTTCCTTGCTATCATATATTTTAACTGCCTTCATGGAAAAGAAACGATTCAGCAAATAAAAGCTATAATTCAGTTGCTTACCGCCAGTGTTTGCCTCTGGGAGAAATTTCCTGTTTCTTACTAAACTTCCATTATCTTCGGAGGAAATAACTGAAATAATAAGGAATGTAATTTATCACCTTTTACAGATGTGTTTTATCTCTCTGATGTAATCACCGATTGAGAAATTCTTTGGTTTCTTTAAATTATACATTATATCAGTTACTCTATTATAAAATTAATTAATAAATAATGATTTGGGGATCTACCCATTTCACATATCCCCACCAGCAGCTGAACCGTAAGAGTGAGAAGTTCAAATCATCTGAAAAAAATATCAGATAATAAAGGCTAACTCTTGGTTGGCAAATGTCAATTAAATCAGATACTGCGTATAACTTTGTACATATTTTTTCAAATGGAACTTTAATTGTACCATCCGTAATTCGGTGAATATGAGGATCATGTGGTGTAAATGTCCATCGGACAGGGTTCATCTGATCTTGACCTCATTTTCATAAAGCATCATATTCGCCAGCATCATATTTTTGCAATTGAGTCAGTTTCTCAGATATCATAAATTTTGATTATCAATATTCCATTGATAGAAAGAGTGTATGGTCTGAAATTAAAAATTCACTTCACACTGAATATTGGCTGTTTGTCTGTATACAACCAACACGCTGCTCTAAAGTAGCGATCTACTGTTGAACTAAAGAAATCAAGAATGTAACTGCTTTGTAAGTACTAATATATATTGGAGAAAAGTTGAGCACCGCTAAATAACAAGTTGGTTACCATGTCCGTTCATTTAAACTATTGAGAATTCAAATAATGTTCAAAACGTTTCATAAATATCTGAAAATTTCATGCACTGACCTACTGAGTCGCCTTTGTCTCCCTTGTCACCTTTATAACCTCTCGGTCCTATAAGACCATTTGTACCAGTATAACCCACGTATCCATTTCCTGTTAAAACGAGTTAGCACAAAATATACACTTTATCTAATAATTAATTGTAGATTCTGCAGCAGATACAGTAATGTGTTAAAGCATTGCCCACAGGTACCGTTATGTGGACGTCTTTGGTTGTCATATTGTAAATATCGGATGTGTATTTGGCTTTCCGAGTTTTTGTGTAACCTAACAGCATATAGTTATGAATGTTTCAAAAATCTTGTATTAAATATAAAAATAGCATTTATCAAAGTCTTATTTTAAAATTCATTTCGATATATATATATATATATATATATGTTGTTTCTTAAGTTCATACTTATTATTGTAAAGTGTAACACATTTATATAAATGCTGGAACAGATTCTGTATCATTTGAAACACTGACAGTAACCACTAAAACATGTTCAAACATTGACAGCAAATACTGTAACATTTTAGAACATCACTAGCAGAAACCTAACATTCTTAAACATTGCTAACATTGCTAGCAGATAATGTAGCATATGCTATAACACATTTTTAGCATATAATGTATCATGCTTAAGTATTACGTGCAGATAGGGTTAGTGTTAGGGTAACATGTTGAAAATTGGACAGAAGATACCATAAAGTACACGGATTAATAACAGATGTTGTGACAAAACTTGTTATAGTGAAACAAGAAACATTTTGGATTCAGTTTTCTTAATACATGTACAACAATTCATCACTTTAAGTAAAATCATGTTCAGTTTTTGGTTAAGGCTATTCAAATGTAACCGTGTATAAAGCGTCACGTGATTTTTTGACTTTTTTTGTGTTTGTAAAACTAAAACTCACCTGGTTCCCCTTTCAATCCAGCATCACCTGAAACAAAAGTCACTCAGGTATCACTGGACAAAGGATATAGTAGCAGAGGATATATGTTATTAAATATATCAGCAGTTTTTTTTGCTGTTTGCGTGGTCTATTGAGATCTTGTTTTCGCGTGTAGTTTCTGTTGTCTATCTAATAGATCTACACATTTATTTGATTTATTCTGTATACAATAGTTTTTCAATGCTTGAGTATAACTTTTGGGGTTTGTAACCTGAAAAATTGCATCTACCAATCTTTCCAACAGCATTTATTATACAAAGGAAGGAAATCGAAATGTGATATTGCATTGAATTTATACTATTATAAATATGTGTTTAATACCAAGCTGGTATCATAATTGAAGAATGTTTGAATGATTCAGTTAAACATTTCTAAGACAACAAAATGGACCTATCCTTTTATCTTGACAGTATAGAATATTTCATATTATAACTATATACCTTTATCGCCTTTAAATCCTGTATATCCTAATTGTCCTCGTGGTCCTTTTTCTCCCTTCTGCCCTCTACCGCCTAAAGTTAAATGATCAATTCAGCTGATTTTTTTTTCTCATTTTAATCAAATCCGACCAACGACAACGATTTTTTTTTCTTTTCAAAAAAAAAAAAAAGAATTTAATTGTAAGATGCAGATTATGGGTTGCCCTTTATTTTTTTTGTTAGGTGTGTTGCTGGGTTTCGGTCTCTTTGACGTTTTATCAGCAACTCCAGTAATTCAAATGATGAAAAACGTGTATGTGACAACTTTTTGAAAATTTTCATGCAATGAATTACAGGAATCATAATCTAATTAAAACTAACTGAACAAAAAGGATTTTTTTTAAAGGTGTTTTTCTTTATTTTCGATACAATGTGTATAAATAGTATTATGCCTCGTTGTTAATTATAAGATTTGGTATTTCTGTGAAAGGCATACATGTACGTTGAAAGTATGTTAACGTTTCTTTATATGAGCTTTCTGTAAAAAATACATTATGGTTTCAGTCCTGGAAAAGGCTTTCCTTTAATTGAATTCATTGGTGATTTGTGAAAAAAAATTATCAACCGAGAAATTATTTACGTTAAAAGCTCACTATAATGTAAAAAAACATGTGGTTTTAATCGATAACAAATTAAATTAAAGAACATAAATTAAACAGACGCACTGATGATAAAAAGATCTGCAATGATACGTAATTAGATGCCATGGAAAGCTTTATAGAAAGTTAATTGAAGTGTTGACTTATTAGGAAGCTTTTGTTTGTATTCTTTTCTTGTACAAATGTCATTTTAACCTTGTTTATAACTACATCTATTTACATCAGAATAAACATTTTCAGTTTGATTTAATTTACTCATACTTTTATACTGCATTATTGTACTATAATATTAGCAAACGAACTGAACAAATATGTTGTTGTATGCTACCTATACAGTCTGTGTACTGCCTTACCATAGACACCCACAGTCGCTTTCAGTTAGTAAAAATGGTAAAGAATAGGGGCGTGATAAAAAAAAATAGATATGTGCGAGTGTTCGTATCACTTGCGGTAAATACTTTAACAGGCTCCAATTTTGGCAAATTGATAAACTAAGTGATTACAGTCCCTGTGACACGTTACCCTGAGTCATCTGGTTACATCGAGGTTATATAAGTGTAGTTGTTGTTTATAAACTCTATGAAGATATCCAATAAATCGCGAGCATAAATTGTATAATCATATTTATTTTCAAACTTGGTACTCTTAACTAATTAAGTATATGTAGTAGTTATCAATGTTAGAAGAGGTAAGTAAGCTATTTTCGTAGTTTTAAGCTTAATTTCCATATTTCGTTTGTCAGGAACTCAATTCTCATTAATTTATCGTTTTATTTACGTTGTTGTTTCATATATGTTGTGTAGGTTTTTGCTGCAATTTTGTTTCATTAAGAAACGTAGTGATGCGCTGCTGTTTTGATATTATTTTAGTCATATCTTAGTTGAGGTACACGAAGTTAGTTCCGGATGCACAAAACAGTAAAAAACGGAGTCAAATACGGGTCCCAGATTATGCCATTCTTCATTACAATTATTGAAGAAAAAAAAAACTGATTCTAAATATATATAGGAATTAATTATTGTAAAAGCAAATTGCATATCACATAGCTTAATGTCAGTTTGTAATTCCAGAGGAGTTGTAGCTCATCAGAACCAGTGTCAATATCTAATAGTTTTACTTACAAGTACAGTTTCCACCTGAGAAACCATGTCCACCAGTTTCTCCCTTTTCACCTTTAGGACCTGTATAACCCTGTGTTCCCCTTAAACCTGGTGGTCCTTGTGGCCCAGGTAATCCATTAATTCCTTTTCGTCCTCTTTTTCCAGGAGGACCTTCGATTCCTGCTGGTCCAGGGGCGCCTTTTGTTAAAATAAATATTGTCCGTTAGGATATCAAAACTTAGAGTTTACTAACAACGTTTTATACTAAGGCACATTATTATTTTATCAAATGTTTTGCTATATCGCAAATATATCACTGCAGTTTTGGTAAAGTATGTAAGTTGAGATAAGAAAGAATACGCTGTTTGGAATACTTAACATTTATTCTACATCTTTGTAGCCTCGTGTGTTCCAGTTTGTTTGAAAAAATATGTATTCTATTCGGGGGAACTTTTACAGTATATGTATTGAATAATTTAAGAAATCAATTTATTTACATACCTGGTGGTCCACTGGCTCCTCTCAGACCACCTGGACCGACTGGTCCTATCTCCCCTTTCTTACCATGATCACCTTTCAAACCTACAATATAAAGCCTACCTTAGAATGTATATGTTTATTGTCATTTCAAATCATCTTAAAAGCAAACGAAGTCTTATATTTTACGTTTAATATGAACGTGGAAAATATATGTACAGTGGAATATTTTAATGTCAAAGGTTCTTGTGCAACCTTTATTCAGTTTTATCAGCACCTGTGCATACATGTAAATGAATTAAAAATTCGAAGTTGTTCTCTTTAAGCACGAATATCATATGACTTAGAAGAAAAATAAATGTCTTATTAGCGTGTCTATTTGTTACGTATATTGGCGAAAATAAAGAAAGGATGTGATATATTTTCTTGGTAGTTATCGTTTGATCATTTAAGACAATAACAATGTGTTAACACGTCATTTATCAATGAATTTACTGCTGTAGGCTGAGGCAACACTGTACACGTATAAACTCATTATTCCACAAACTCGATACAGTCATTATAGTGCAGGTAATAAAATATCCCCCAACTGATTCATTATAGTGCAGGTAATAAAATATCCCCCAACTGATTCTTTATAGTGTAGGTAATAAAATATCTCATAACTGATTACTTTAATTAAAAGCAAGTTCGTGTGGACTTTTCGAGGAAACTGTCTTCAGGTTCACTTTTCTATACTTGAGTTGATTCATAGAGGTTGACATACTAGTATTGTATAAACATTTGTCTATATATGTTGAAGACCTAATGTTAATCTCTTTATGGCTATTACATCGGATGTGACCTTTTCCTTGCGCTTTTGACTGATAACCGAACGTATTTCGTATAAATACGCGGATATTATCGAGTGAAAAATAACTTTCCTTATCGCTTGTTACAAATTCATTTTTTCAATGAATACTCATGAAAATATAATTTTAAGAACATAGATAAATGATATGAAAATGTTTTGTTGTGAGAAATATATATACCAGTAACAAATCATGAATACCGAAAATTTGTATTAACGCATGCGGGAGAATATCTCGAGTGACGATCTGATATATATATAACTGTTATACAAATATTAATATAATATATAACAACAAACCAGATTATACTGATAACAAATGATTATATCACTACAATACAATAATTATTACGGTGAGGTTAAATTCCTTGTCATTTATTCATCATCCACACAGGAACTTGTCTCAAAAAAAATATATCTATGTACCTTAACCTAACTTTCAGGTATAGAGATATGATTTTTTTTCTGAGCCCATCCACCAGAACTTGGTGTCATCCGATGTTCAGCACTTCAGTACTTTGATTTTGTCTGAGCCCATCCACCTGAACTTGGTGTCATCCGATGTTCAGTACTTCAGTACTTTGATTTTTTCTGAGCCCATCCAACAGAACTTGCGGTCATCCGATGTTCAGTACTTCAGTACTTTGATTTGTTTCATTGGGTTGCTTTCTCATTGACGTGTACAACATCTCCTTTTATTCACGGTATACTAGGTCAAATAACAAAAAGCTGGTTTGGCTGAAAGAACAAACTGCTATTCAACTTTAGAGGTCGTTGGTTTAGGTTAGATTCTACAAATCCATATATATTGTCAAAAAATATCTATAACTGACTTTATACCTTTAGTTTCAATAAAAATAAAAACACTTCTTGGTGTTACTTTACTACCGAAACAAATACAAGCGGTTGGCAACAGAACACCGTCGAATAGGATCATTTCTGGTTCGTATATTCCTGATACTTTGCCAGACAACAACTGTTCAACAAAACAAAAACAAAAGAAAGAAGAATATATAAATCAAACCAGAATTTATAATTATGTCAAAATAGACTCGCCTCTGTCTCCTTTATATCCAGGAAACCCGAGTAATCCTTGATGTCCTCTAGGACCTGTGTCACCTTTTGATCCTTTTTCACCTGTAAACATATAGGCATAACAAGTTTTAATTGTAAGCTGGCAAACAAATTATCATATATCTCACTGGATCCATAGTGCGTGCACGTTAGTTACCTGCATTCAAATTCTACCTTACATCTGAATTTTGTCAAAACATTTGTCAAACAGAATCATGCATTAGACTGGAACACTTTGGTTGGTTTTGTTAGGTTGTTGTCTCACTAACAGACCCGATATCAGTGGTATTGACGTAAAAAGAATGAAAGAAAAATATGTAAAACAAAAAACAGTATACACCAACAAGGATCCAGTGTTTATACGGTAGCCACTAAACCTTATACCCAGTGTTTATACGGTAGCCACTAAACCTTATACCCAGTGTTTATACGGTAGCCACTAAACCTTATACCCAGTGTTTATACGGTAGCCACTAAACCTTATACCCAGTGTTTATAAGGTAGCCACTAAACCTTATACCCAGTGTTTATACGGTAGCCACTAAACCTTATACCCAGTGTTTATAAGGTAGCCACTAAACCTTATACCCAGTGTTTATACGGTAGCCACTAAACCTTATACCCAGCGTTTATACGGTAGCCACTAAACCTTATACCCAGTGTTTATACGGTAGCCACTAAACCTTATACCCAGTGTTTATAAGGTAGCCACTAAACCTTATACCCAGTGTTTATACGGTAGCCACTAAACCTTATACACAGTGTTTATAAGGTAGCCACTAAACCTTATACCCAGTGTTTATAAGGTAGCCACTAAACCTTATACCCAGTGTTTATACGGTAGCCACTAAACCTTATACCCAGTGTTTATACGGTAGCCACTAAACCTTATACCCAGTGTTTATACGGTAGCCACTAAACCTTATACCCAGTGTTTATAAGGTAGCCACTAAACCTTATACCCAGTGTTTATAAGGTAGCCACTAAACCTTATACCCAGCGTTTATACGGTAGCCACTAAACCTTATACCTAGCGTTTATACGGTAGCCACTAAACCTTATACCCAGCGTTTATAAGGTAGCCACTAAACCTTATACCCAGTGTTTATACGGTAGCCACTAAACCTTATACGCAGTGTTTATACGGTAGCCACTAAACCTTATACCCAGTGTTTATAAGGTAGCCACTAAACCTTATACCCAGTGTTTATACGGTAGCCACTAAACCTTATACACAGTGTTTATAAGGTAGCCACTAAACCTTATACCCAGTGTTTATACGGTAGCCACTAAACCTTATACCCAGTGTTTATACGGTAGCCACTAAACCTTATACCCAGTGTTTATAAGGTAGCCACTAAACCTTATACCCAGTGTTTATACGGTAGCCACTAAACCTTATACCCAGTGTTTATAAGGTAGCCACTAAACCTTATACCCAGTGTTTATACGGTAGCCACTAAACCTTATACCCAGTGTTTATACGGTAGCCACTAAACCTTATACCCAGTGTTTATACGGTAGCCACTAAACCTTATACACAGTGTTTATAAGGTAGCCACTAATCCTTATACCCAGTGTTTATAAGGTAGCCACTAAACCTTATACCCAGTGTTTATACGGTAGCCACTAAACCTTATACCCAGTGTTTATACGGTAGCCACTAAACCTTATACCCAGTGTTTATACGGTAGCCACTAAACCTTATACACAGTGTTTATAAGGTAGCCACTAAACCTTATACCCAGTGTTTATACGGTAGCCACTAAACCTTATACCAGGTCATAATTTAGTTTAATGACTATCTAAATACTGTATATTAGATCTTCAGTGATTCAATTATGCTTCAGTGAAATATGTAACATAAACTAAAGGTTTCATGGAGTCTGAATAACTGATAAGTAGATATAAGAAGATGTGGTATGAGTGCCAATGAGACAACTCTAAAACCAAGTCACAATTTATAAAAAAGTAAACCATTATAGGTCAAAGTACGGTCTTCAACACGGAGCCTTGGCTCACACCGAACAGCAAGCTATAAAGAGCCCCAAAAATGACTAGTGTAAAACCATTCAAACGGGAAAACCAACGGTCTAATCTATATAAAAAACGAGAAACACTTATGAACCACATCAACAAACGACAACTACTGAACATTCTTCAATTTTTGCAGCATTCATAACTATGACCTTTGAAAAATGCATACAAAGCTTGTTTTGTTTCCAAGCTGACCGAGGATTTTTTTTGTAGTAATGTATCATATCTTCGGTACTATATATCTAACGATACTAATGAGAAACCGCTTTCCTCAAAAAATAGTTTATTATTCTTTTTAGGTAAATCTGATTTTTCAAATTGCAGTACATCTCCCTTTATGGAACCAATCAGCAACCAGAGGATCTTGAACGTTTTAACCTAATATCTATGTATTATATCGACTTTAAAAAACCGACTAAATGCTTTTAATGCCTTTTTGAAGTAACATATAAAAAGTTTGGGATCAGGCACCTACACAGGGAATGGGAGGGTCATAATCATGCAGGGATGTACATGTATGACCCGAATGATCATTTGCAATCATACCACATCTCCTTATTTTTATATTAACCTTTTTACAGTTAAGTCACATCTTTACCCCAAAGTTATACTTACATCGTTGTAAGTAAAACAATTTGTAGCAAATATCTTTCGGTAAGGCGGTGGCTCATGTCAAAATATTATTGACAAGATCTCAAAATAATGTTGATTTGGCTGTTATTGCATTTCTGCATTTAATACAACATGTTTGAAACTCTCGTTTGAAGGCTCCTGACTTTGTTCAGGCACATATTGGATGTGGCGGGGTTAAACATGTTTGCTGGCACCAAACCTTCCCCCTAATCTGGGACAGTGGTGTCACAGTACAACATTAGAACAAACTATAAAAAATCAGTTGAAAAGGGCTTAGCTCACCAGATCGAAAAAAGCAGAAAAAAACATCTAAAAAAAAAACACAGACCGCACGTTGCAGGGAATTTATACATCCCTTACCACAAAAATACACCAACTACAGATCTGACAGTACTCGCTGTTAGTTCAAAGCCAATAACAACTAATAAAAAAAACCATGTATCTTAGAATAAATTAGCAATCAGAACACATCCAATATCCAATGGATTTAGTATAAAGGCGTCATTAACAGTCAGAGAAAAACATGATCTTGTGCGTGTTTGATTTTAGTTAAGAAAAAACCACACACAAAACAAACAAAAAAGAAAAACAAAACCAGAAAGGCAAGTGAAATTTTATGTATCTGCAACCATTTGATTCCCCAAAATGCAACACTATCAAAAGATTCTGGAATCTAATTCGGGGAATATATATATGATTTGGAACACAAAAGCATTAAAAAGTCAGCTCAATTTCTAATAAGAAGGCTGAAAATATGGGAACCCGTGAATTTCATGATCCTCTGCAAGTCAGCTCAGACAAATCTTGTATGAAATCTGGACTCATTACAAAGTCAAAAGAAATCTCAGCACAAATTCAAAGGTGGTTTAATTGAAAAAGTTACAGAAAACAATAAGTTTCATGAAATTGTTGAAAAAAACCCAACATAGCTTGGTAATAAAAACTCATGTGTAATTTGTCACTGCTTATAACGGAACTCAGCTTAATATTCACAGCAACATTCATAAAAAATACTTGCATACAACTGAGTAACAACATTTCTAAAGTATTCACTGACCTTGTTGTCCTTCTGGTCCCGGTGGACCTGGTGGGCCTGGAGGTCCTGTCTGATCTACAATTCTTTTTGATCTTGCATAGTAATTATCTTGTTGATTATAGGTTGCTTCAAGATAAAAAGTCAATTAATTTTAGCTAAGTATGCGGAATCTAGACTGTTTATTCGCTGTATTACTCCTGAGAATAAAGTCAATTTGTTTTCCTTTAATGGAGATTAGGTTAGTTAATACCACTGCAGTCATTTTTGAAGAAAATCTAAATTTGTGATTTACTTGGTCTTCTAAAGTACTTTAAGGATCACATATTACTTCACTTGTAATACTTCTTAAATATTACTTATTAGTATGAAAAATTAAGTGTAAATAATGAATAAAAAGAGAAAACTGTGGTCGTATTCAAAGTATAAACACGATTGACCTAACATGACATGTTGACCTATACATAAAAAGCGATAATAATCCTTACTTTGTATTTACTGTTGTAAAAAGAAACTTACAGTATGAACTCATTTGCCACATTCTTCTTATAAATGAAATTACTTTTCATACAAAATATAAATAGAATACTAGTTTGTTCTGTACATACCTGTTTGTTTTTTGCATGTATTTGACAAGGCTGCACATTGTTGTAAAAAGCCATAACTCTGAAATGGTAACAAGTACGTTCAAGATAATTCAAGAATTAGAGTATACATTCGTTTTACATCATGTTTAAAAATAACTTTGAAAATGATTATCTGATGACATACCAACTGTATGGTTGAATTTCATATTCTGAAAGTAAGACTCGAGGAGTTCCCATTTTTTGTCATATTTATGTTCTATCAAGTTCAATTTTCTGTGGAACATCTCTCGGAATGAGAAACTCACTATATTAATTTCCTACCAGTTAATAAACTTTAATTGCATTTTTAAACGTCGTAAGGAATCAAACAAATACAAGCAGCAGTGTGTATAGACGCAGATCAAATGTGCTTTTGTCGTTATATTGACTTATCAGTATGTCTCTATAGTCGGGCGTCACTACGTATTTATATATCCCTCACAGCTAATCGAACGCCTCCCTCAGCACGGAATTTACTGCTTGACTGATGAGCCCCAGTTAACCCTTTGGGTTCGTTTCAAAGAAAGACAGCACTGAATCACACTCATGGGTAATATTAAAAATGACAGAAAACAAATCATGAATTATGAAATTTCAAATACTATAGTTTGCCAGTAGGATAAATAATCACTTAATCCAAATTGAACAAATAACTCCTACATTTATGGACTAAAATGGAAACAAGCTATAATGTGGAGTTTAGCAATGAGCATGGCATGCATATTTGATCATTTGATCATTTGTTTAACATTCATCTAATATAGCATTCATGGTAGTATACGGTTCCTGTAGTTTTTGTTAATAAATACACTATTTTGGAAATAGAGTGCTGATACAGGTACCGCTACATAAAACGCTAAAACCGATGAATCGTAGGGCTGAATTTTTAGACCGTTGTCTGCTTGCTTCTAAAAGATATCATAGTCCTGAACGTGGATGAAATATTTGCCACTGGATGTTAAGAAAACACCAATCAATCAATCTAATAGAGATCTCGTTTTAATGCCAGATTTAAACAAATCAAATTCATGGATGCTAGCGGCCTGTGTTATAAAATGAATCTTAAGTTTATGGGACCAGTTTTCTAAATTTGCATTTCCATCATGATTATTGATTTGAAGCGATTATTCCTTTTAATAGTGAACTTGTATGTTTAAAAATGAATAATAAAGCTACAGCATTTGTCAAATTCATCAATTATATAAAAATGTGGTATGTGTATGATTGCTAATTAGACAAGCATTCACCTATGTCGGACCAATAGTCGACAATTTGTTAATTAATTATTCAGACCGCCATCTAGTTTGAATTTCTGACATTTTAATCACGAAGGTATGCACATTAAAGCATGTTTAAAACACTATACTCTTACAACATTGCTCAATATGTTATTTTAAATGCAATAAATGAATAACAGAGTTTTCATTAATTATCTGTTTTATAACGATAAATAGCCTTTTTAATAGTTTGTAGCGATATTTGTTTGAAGTTTATGAACCTTCGATGTCATTTTTATTTATATATTATTAAATTGGTCCATCTACACGTTATGCACCGTTTGTTTCTTCTATTGTCATATTTAATTGTTTCTGTGTCCGTGATTAGTATTCCATTTCATGAAATCCCAAGGACATCATTTTCATTACAAAATTTTAGAATGGTTCATTACTGCCAGTTAATTAAGTGGAACAGCTATTCATTTTAATACTTGTATTACATTGTAAGCTTCTAGGAAGCTTCTTGAAATCGTGATTGAAATCTATTTTCCTACCTTTGAGCTTCATTCAAAACTAAGTGATCTTACTTATTAAAAGAAGTCCGTCAAATGCAGTCTGATCTTTCTAGTAGAGTTTAACTGACTGTTGACTATCTGTCAGCTCTTTTAATATAAATGTATCTATGTTTTATATATTGATGCACTCACAACCTTTATGAATTTGTTTTCTTCTGTTAACCATATGAATATAGGGTAATGGATATTCTGTACATAACGCTTATGAGACAGCAACCAAATGACGATAAAAATAAAAGGACACATAAAGTTTTAACGTACGAACTTAATATGTACATCTTTTCTCAAAATCCAATTTGAACATGAAAAACGTACAAGGACTTAAAGGTTGGCTATAGTCACCTGGACTATTCTCCGTCAGTAAACCCAATGTTTGGCTCAGCGGAATGCATAATGACACAATCAAGTCCAGTTATACGTGGAATGGTAAAGTCGATGATTGGCAGATGGAGAGTGTCATGATCTCTGCATGCTACAGAACCCTTGCAATAACTCTTTGATGGGTCCATAGATTTACTGTTACAAGGCAAAATTTCTGCTTCTATCCAGCATACCCTCAGTGGCAGTCCAAATGTCCCACCCTTCACTCTGGTCAACCCACTTTGCAGAGTCTACCGGTATTAGAGTTATAGTTGAGTTGATTTTGTCGCGAATAGGCAAAAAATACTTCTACTGAACGTCAAGCAAACAAAAATCAATCAATCATGAAAAATAATTCCAAAAAGTAAATTGAAAATAAATTTAATATATAAGATGTATGCATTTTTCAGAAGTAATGTTATTAAAAAAAACATCTGTACACAAATCGGTGTCATGAAAGGATATATTACAATATTGTGAAATGGCTGCATAGATTCACCAACATATTGGATACCACATATAGGACACTCAAGAACGTAAATCACGTTTGAGCTTTTGCAGTTGACATTGCAGAAGATCTTGTATGTCTTTTCTGTGGTCTTACTGTGAAATGTTGATGAATGCTGCAATTGGTTGCAACATTTGCAGCGCTTATCCCCACAAGGCTGGCAATTACCTACAGTATGGTTAGGTTTGGTGCTGACTGCCATTGGCGATTGCCAAATAAACGGATCACCAGATGTAACAAAATGGATCTTAACTATTAATTTAATACCAAACAGAAAACAATAAAGTTGCGGACAAGATGGTTTACTGCAAACAAAAGGTGCAAAAATTAGTACACCATATCCGGATTTCGACAATTAATGTCTCTTCAGTGATGTTAGGAATCGAAACGGTATTTGGAAGGCCATATAATTTACCTCAATTTAGGATAGACTCTTGAATTTTGAAGAGTAAAAATAGGATGAACGGATCATATAAACCCGAAGGCAAATATTATACAAGCCCAAACGAAAAAATATAAACAAGTCTAAATTGAAAACAACGTTCAAACCTATGATTGCGTTGGATAAAAACCGCAATTTTTATACGTGTGCATGCAAACGTTTTATCTTGGTAGAGGGGTCTAAATACAGCACAAACAACATTTTCCAAAAGACCAAAAAAGGTGAAAAGGTATATTTTAACAAAACGCATTTGACTAGCAGGTCGAACAACCAATGTTCTATATAGAATGACGAAGAAGAAGACATTATAACAGGCCAGGACTATCGAATGAAATAAAAAAAAAAGTTCTACCAGGTCAGGTCCGCAGAATTACGAAGGGAAAATATGATAAAGAAATAATAACAATGAAAAAAAATTACTTAAAATCAGGACGAAAGAAATGCGAAGAAGGAAACACATTGATTATTAGGTCAGAACGTCAGAGATATACCATGTACATTTTAGTATTGATTTTAATATTTTGACAACATTCCTCTTATATGATAACTATAATAGTTGTAACATTGCTAACTACACGAATTCCTGCAATAATCTATGAGACAAATCCACTGTATTAAAAACTAGTAATGAAGAACTACATTCAACTGAAAGTATTGCTTAAAATATAAACTTACTGAAAACGACAAATCATAGATCACATATTCTGTATATAAATATGTATTGCGTTGAAGATTGGACGTCATCAGGAACTCAATTAACCAAAATTTAGTAAAACATGAGTCAAATTATACCAACACATCATCCTCGTTAAAAACAAATCAAGATAACAAAAAAAAACCAGATAAAAAAAACCCCACACACACAAACACCTCACCTACCAAAAGCTAATAACCAAAACAATAAAATTGTGTTTCTGCAGAGCTGCATCGAAGGAAGATGTGATGAATGGTTGTCCGAAATTCTTTACGGCAACAAAGTGGTTTAAAGTATTGCTGACCATTAGTGTCCATTCCAATGTCACGAATGAAGAATAGGTAACATTATAGAAAAAAAAGAACCTTCATTATTGAGTGTAATTTTAATAAATGAAGTCCATTATCTCAGTGTAGAGCCTTTTATTCTATCAAAACTACATTAACTTGATTACAAAATACAATCCCGACTTTATTCAAAGAAGGTAAGTCTATGCATCGTCATGTGAGATAATGTGGTGCTACTTTGGTATTTGGTATTGACTCTGTACCGTCAATTAGGTGGATAAAAGCAAGATTATTTTTCTCTCCGTAAATAATTTACGTGTAACATATATGACGAATATTCTATAATTACGTCGCTACAAAATTGACACGTTAACTCAGTTACATAAAGTTTCCAATAACTAACGGTTAATTAAATTTCTCGCGAGACTTATTCTACTGTGGTCTAGTTAATCATTTGAAGGCCGGACAATTTCTTTTTAGATCCCTATTAAATATTAATCGATATTTTTACACCCATTCTTCATTAAATTAATGACAAAATGATTATGTTGATTATGATAGATCCTGGTGGCAGGGTATCAGAGAAAACGGCTAAAAAATGATGGATATTTTATTTTAGCACAAAACGGGGCAATTATATTCTTTTGTAAGTTATAGCTACAATTGAAGGCTTGCAACATTTATCATCATTATGACTACTTTTCAGACTTCCACAAACAGTTAATTATCAATGAAAATTCAATAAAACATTTCCTTTCTTCCTGGAAATTGAATTTCCTAAAACAAGCTATCTTAATTAATGCTTTGCCTGTCTCTGTAACAGTACATTCTAGAGTCACACCTCCAAAGATATATACGTAACACATCAGTGACAAGGCTTGGCTTTCAACAGAAATACTGACCAAATTACTTCAAATATTTTATTTGATAACTTAAATACAGAAGTTTATTCCCTAA